TTAATTATTAATTATTTAAATGTAGAGCAAGTCCCTCATGTAAAACTTAAAACACGTCTCATTAGACCTCCTTTTATAAGGCAAAACAGTGACAAGACCTAAAGGCGTTGACTCTATAAGAACAGGCTGATAGTCAGATTATAGATTATTTGTCTTTTCTAAAAAAAAAAAAATCCCAAAATACTGACTCTAAGTAATCTGATTACTTGTAAATTTTCCAATGTAATCTTGTTACATAAGTACAGTGTAAACTGTTACATTTAATTGACTCTGGACAAATTCATTTTATGTGATTGGCGGACATTCAGTTTACACCAAGCATGTTTTCCTTTGTTTATTATATATATGATATATTTTTGAGCTGCATTTAACTCCAAATTACTACTTTTTATTTATGAGGGCAAAGAATTATGTCTTTAAGTGTGTGCTGTGGACCCTTATTGTTGTCCAGAAACCATCAGAAGAACATAAGTGAGTTGAATTGTTCAATAGTGATCCAAAAGACACAAATGAATGGACTTCATAAATCCATCCAGACTTTTTTTAAGGGTTTACATTGTCGGTAGGTAATTGCCAGGCTTTAAATTATTTTATTCTGCTTTAAACTACTTTAAAGGGAAACAGCTGAATTGAATGTATGTTATTTCAATGCTCTTGCTCAGATAATTAATCGGCTGCTTCCATTTGCAAAGCTCATACCTACAGTGTAGCATAAAACAGGATCGCATGCTTTTCACTGCATGATCTTCAAAAGGTGACACGGGCCACTGCAGCCTCCTTATCTGCCTCGTCCCTCATCCTGCTTGCTGTCCCCTTGCTGCCATCCCAGCAGCCGGCTGTAATGTGCTGGCAGTTGATCAGTCGTGTGTATTTGGCCTTTTACTAAATGCCCTATGCTGGCATAGCTTTGTAATATTCTCTCCACATTCTCATTCAGCCGGAGAGAGGAGTTAACGATCGGTTCAAGGTAAATAACCTGCACACCATCGTACTGTATGTGTGACTGTAAAGTGGAGGGAATGAAATACAAGAGAGCTGAGGAGAAAAAAGAGAGCGAGTGCGAGGAGTGTGTTGGTGGTTAGCTGAGCGTTTTTGTTAGCTCATTCACTTCTGCTGTGTAGGTAGGCCTACATATGTGTGTGGTAAATGTCTGTAAATGTAAAGGTTGATGGATGTTAATGTTAACTTTGTGAAATGTGCAAATGCTGGTTGAGTTTCAGCTGATTTCCTTTCTGTGTGTCTGCTATATCTGTCTGTTTCTCAGGTGATCAGGAAGGGCTGGCTGACCATTAATAACATCGGCATCATGAAGGGAGGCGCCAAGGAGTACTGGTTTGTACTCACCGCCGAGAGTCTGTCCTGGTACAAGGATGATGAGGTGAGACAGAGTTCACGTAAAGTCACTCGTGCACACGGAGTCACACGGTCAGGGTGTTTGTGTGTGTTTGCATGTTTCAGTATCTGCACACTCAAAGTCTTGGTTTAGAGTTCTGTTTGCGGTCTGAGCTGCAGACCTGATGACTGAATCATCTGCCCGAAGCATCAGCCAACTGCTTTGTAGTGTTTTGCAAAGAAAAATGCAGCGCAAGAGATTCATAAAAGTATGCAACACTGCACTACAAGTACTTGTTACTGCATAGAAACAGAGTTTTGTTTTGAAAGGGAAACAAAGGGTTCTTTGCAGGATAATTGATTCAAAGTTAAACCCGACTGAAACTCAGTTTTGAAGGCTCAGATCAATATTTGAAAATCTTATGATGATGATCTGAGACATGTTGTTTTTTGCTTTTGTGTGTGTTGACCATAATATATAAATAAAAAACCCAGAAAAGGACTTAAAATGGGTCATTTAACGAGTTGAAAAATAAACTGGATAGTGCCCCCTGATGGATAAACAATATAATGTCCGTGCAGTGCAAATGACCACAGATCAACAGTCTTTTGATTCTTGTGTTCCAACTTATGTGCTGACAGAGATTTTTCTGTGTTTAGTAAACGTCAGACTAGTCAGCCGCTCCGTTTTTTGGTGTACTTCAGTTTGACAGGACTTTGGAGTTTGGTGGTTTCATATAATTAGGAAAAAGCTTGTTTGGGAAAAACAAAACTTGACAAAATTGACATTTCTTCACAGTATAATTTGATTATAAAGCATGTAGTCTTGTGATCCGATTCCTACTGTATGACACTATGAAATTACATTTTACTCTGGCGGTTTTTCTGCATCTTTACCGCACAACCCGACACAATTTTCCTGGGATCCGAGTGTTTATTCTCTGTGACCTGGTCCAACATTCATTCCACTGCAGCTATGACTGCTGGTCAGTGTTATCTTCTGCACACTGATATGATTCTCCCTGACATGCTTTGTTCCTGGACTTACTGGTCAAAGCGGTATCCCATGATGCTTTGCAGAACTATTAGGAGCTAGCCACAGTCTCGCTGTCTCCATGCCTTAGCCACAGCCTCTGTGCGCGCTGACATCAGGCTGTGTGTGTGTGTGTGTCTGTGTGTGTGTGTGTGTGTGTGTGTGTGTGTGTAGGACTGAGCAGACCTTTCTAAAAAGTCAGGACCCCACAGCATGTCAGACATTGAAGCTGGCACACATATGTGCATACCAGAGCCCTTGCATTGCCCTGTTCCTAATTACACACACACACACACACACACACACACACACACACACACACACACACACACACACACACACACACACAC